CTGTGGGCAACATCCTCTTCACCACCAGCCTCTAAAGAAAGTGGCTATTTTTAGTTTTAAAAATTCCATGATAATTTAGCGCTGCATAGACCTCAAAAGTGGTTTAATCAAATAGGAATAAAATTTTAGAAGTTTCTAGAGGCTGATTCTGTGGGACAGTACAGTTTATAATGTCTGGGAAGGCTTGGGTTATTTTAGAATCTGTTCTGCAGTGTGTAGAGAATATCAACCCATGAGAGTGAGCACCCATATGAATAGGTTATTAAAATCTGTAATCATAAAGGATCTTGAATTTTAAAATTAATTTCTCTAGTCCAATTGTTGGTGTATAATTCCTTGTATTTAATTAATCAAGTCTGTTAACAAACCTTTTAATATCGGTAGATATTTATTCAGTGAAGCAATTAATTATTTAGTCATTTATCCTTTAGGAAAAAAATTCTTCAGGCAAACTCAAGAAATCCTCACTTAACCACTTCTTCAAAACCAGAGGCTTCTTGTGCATATTCTGAAACAGATTGGTTCCAGATCCTAACAAAAGTTTTCCTGGCACTAATTTTTCTAATCTGCTTTCAAAAGTTACTTATTCAAGTTGAGTTTATTTCACAGTCAGACTCATTTTTGTGTTTGGAATTGTGCTGCTATAGTTTGTATCATGCTATTTGTGTTTTCTTTCCCATTGATAAGTTTTTGAGGTTTAAATGTAGCCCGACTTTGTAATTTTTAAAGGAGTTAGCAGCAAAAGGATAAATTTATCAGATAATTGATATCATAAAGTTGATATTACTTGCAGCATTTTCTAGAAAGATAGAACTTGAGAAGAACACGACAGTATATGAAGTAATTGTAATGTGAATATACTCTGTCTTTCTACAAAAAAGAATTTATCTCTTCAGAAGTGCAAACATTTCATCATACACTTACTAGATTCTTTTTTTATAGAAATCATTAAAAACGGTTTCTATAAAAAAGGTAAAAGGAGTAACATTTTAATCTTTTGTTAATAAGCATTCCAAATTTCCAATTCTGGCATTGCAGATATTTTAAAATAGTGTTCCTCACTCTCCTCTTCCAATTATTAAAACAAAGGTATCAGCCAAAGTTGTAGTTTTAGAATGTGGATTCACAGAACATGTGAGAAGTCCTTAGGAACAACTTGTCAGTTCTGTAAATCATTTTAACTCTGTGAGGATATTCGCTTTAATTGGTTTATGAAGATTTAACCCTTTGTGGTCAACTACCCTTGCTATATTCCTCACAGATTTCTAAGTGTTTTCTGATGAGTTATACCATGTGCTACATCAGCTTCTCAGGGTTCAAACGTTCATGGAGATGAAATTTGAAAGTAAATTGTCTTTTCCTTTTCTTTTTAGCCATTTGTTATTTATGACATGAACTCTTTAATGATGGGAGAAGATCAGATCAAGTGCAAGCATGTGTCCCCGCTGCAGGAGGAGAACAAAGAGGTAGCCATTCGCATTTTCCAGCGATGCCAGTTTCGCTCTGTGGAGGCGGTGCAGGAGATTACAGAATTTGCCAAGAACATTCCAGGTTTTGTGAATCTTGACCTGAATGATCAAGTAACTCTCCTGAAATACGGGGTCCATGAGATCATATATACTCTCCTGGCTTCTCTGATGAATAAAGATGGAGTTCTTATATCTGATGGACAAGGATTCATGACACGGGAGTTTCTGAAGAGCCTGAGAAAACCTTTTTGTGACTTTATGGAACCCAAGTTTGAGTTTGCTGTGAAGTTCAATGCACTGGAATTAGATGACAGTGACCTGGCAATATTTATAGCTGTCATTATACTAAGTGGAGGTAGGTACTCTTTCATTTAATACCAAATTTCATATCATAGAATAGACTTTAAATTCCTGTGCAAATAGGAAAGTGCTCAGCACTACAGGATGTGAGTTTATTTACACATAGATTTTTATTCATTTTCAGCTTTCTTGATGTTGCTTGCCCCTTTTTTCAGTTCCAGGCAGAAAGTGAAAATGTAAGGAACCTGATATTAAAGATGGAGCTGGAAATGCCTGCTGAATCAGCAGTTCATTTGCTTAGAAAACAAAATCAGGCTATCTTTCTGAAAACAGGAAGGGTGGAATTTCACTGGCAAGAGCTTCTAAAAGTTAAAATTCTGCATGAGGGTTTTTTAAACCTGCAATTAGATTGTGTGGCTTGCTAATTGTACAGAAATAGCTTTGACTCCATAACAATTTCAAAGATATGTGGCATTTGGTTTCTGGGGTTGTTACGGTGCTTTTTTGATTGTTGTTGGTTTTACATTCCTGCAAGGTTTTGTTTGCCTTTAAAAGAGGGGGAAAAAAGAATGCATTTCTCAGGAAAACAATGGTCTCCTAATGTCTGAGGAAAACAGGCATTGTGTGTCTGCTCTATTTGGATTTCCTAAGCTGCTCTGTATGAATCTTTATGCATTATGCTTTGAGCAAAGCACAAATCAGAAAGCCCAGGTATCAGATAACATGCATTTAACAGTGCATTTTAAAAGACACTAAATTTTGAGCTTCTTTGACGACAGACAGTACATACTATTTGATTCTGAGGAGATGTAGCTATTCCGTTTCATGAATGAGCGACTGCTATTCAGATTTAGTTCACTTAGAAATATTTCCACTGAGAATCTGAAATATCAGATATACACTTCAGGTCGTATTAAAGGTCTTTTACTTTGGCCACTACTATCAAGCTAGTGATGTTGCAGGACGAAAATTTTACCCTACTGATTTGTGTGTATTTTGGCTTAGAAAGGTACTGTAGATATCAATGGGAGGAATGTGCTGAATGTTCTGAATTCAGATCCTCCACGGAGCAACTCAGAGTATTTAGTTATTAAATTATCTTTAAGCAATCAGACACAACAACCACATGCTATTGTTCTAAAAGTAAACATTCTGTTGAGAGTGCATTGTTACATACAGCTTCATTGCAAATAATGTACTTCTGGCTTTGTGCTTCATTCAGTGAAAATGTAGTATCACAATATAGTTTACTAGACTAAATCCACTTCAAACAAGTACAGTTCCCAGAAGATATTTTCTTGTGCAAATTTTTGAGTATAATGATCCCTGAGGAGGCTGAATTAATTCAGGAAGGGAAAATACATTATTAGGATATTTTTAGTTGGCTTTGTTGCAGAAGAGAAATTATAGAAGCCTGTCAGAGCGCTAGAAAAAACATACAAATACTCTGCATTTTCTAATATAATGAAATTTGACAGAGAAGCAAGAGGCCTCTCAAAATCCACTGCTAATTGAGAAAAAGAGAACTTCCAGTCTTCAAAGCTAGGTCTGCTATACACTGTGATATGTTAGAGGAAATAGGTATGAGGCAACTAGTTTTACATGGATGGTGATTCACAGCAAAAAAATTGATTTGTTGAACCAGATTTATCAACAAGTCTTTTTTTTAAGAATAATTTGTAAGCAGAAATCCATATAGAACTACCAAGTTTTAGTATTTAGTATTTAGTTCTTAAATAACGGAAGCAAATCCATATAAATCAGTCCTTTCTAGGAAAATCCTTTGATTTCCTGATAACAAAGATCTCTTACTATCTTTACTCAGAACAATTCTTTTTAAATCATTAGTTATTTGTAAAAACGGAGCTTATGTTTTGAAAACTATTAAGCTTTTCTACCAATTAGAGAATAGATTTTATAATGGAATTTGCAGTCAGATATGATATCTATTGAAATGTATGTATTCTGTGAGACTATAAAATTTTACATGGTGTGGAAGTGAAGTCATATTTTTCAGATGTCTCAGAAGTTCTTGGTTTTGTGAGAGCTATATTCTTACAAAACTTAATTTCTGTAAGATCTATATGAATATTGAACCAGGGTAATTTCATAGAAAGTAGGATTTCAAAACCCATCTGTATTACCTCAAGGACTTTACTTGCTGCAGCTGTAATGTTTAAGTCATTTCAAGGAATCCTGTGTGCAGATATCTTAAAAACAGTTTGTGAGACAAAAAAAAATGCTACCCAAATGCTCTAATTCTAAGTGAATCTGACAGTGCCTAGCAAAATTATGTTAGTTCTGCTGGCTGCACGGGTGCTGTCTTTTATGTAGCTCTAAAAAGAAGGGAGAAGGGAAAGA